GCCTCTAAGGGGAAGGCAATAAGAATCTAGCCCTTGCAAATCACCTCCTCTCAGACCTACAGAGCTCCTGCAGGATTATGTAGATGTATGCAAATAACATGCAAATGGACTCCTGGTCCCTGCCACTCCTTCTAGTACCTGGAAGAGACCCTTGGGACAAGCCTGCTGGAGACACGGGTCTGAGTCTGCACTGTCAGGAAGACGACAAAATGATCCCACTTTTAGTTTCTCAGGCAGATTGTGTACGTCCCCAGGCCTTGCAAATTCAGAGATTTTGATCAAGGACATTAAACTGAACAATGAGGCTTATAACAAAAGGAGAGCAGCTGAGAAAGCCCGCGCTCCCAGCCTCCCAGGGCCCCCATACGGCGAGGCAACAGAGCGGAGACCAGACACACGAGCAATTTAGAGACCCCTCTGTGGCTGGACTGGGAGGTACTGCACCCAAATCAGACAGCTTCTAAAAGGTCATCTGCCAGGTTTCTTTAGTAAAAATGCTGGCCAAGATCCCTGGCGTTCACTATTGTTGTATTGGGTGTTAAAAGACAAGTCTGAATGTGCAGACCAAAAATCTGCACATGCCTTCTCTAGGGCTTTGCTGGGTTGGGTATCAAAGAAACACATTCAAGAAAGTGCCCTTAATGATACTACAGGGGTTCTGCCAACTGCATGAGAATGCTTTTGAAAGACATCTCTTAAAGATGTCTGCAACCTGGAAGCTGAAATGGTGCAGGAGGCAAGGCCCCAGATGCAAAGTTAGCTGCACATTATGCAGAGATGTGTTTTTGTTTGTCAATCAATATATATTTTTTGCAGCATATGTTCATGGCAACCTTTAGATTTCACCTAAAATATACAATCTCTTGTTCTCTTGAAACATCAATAGAGATGTCAACTTTAGGTTAAGAATTCCTCAGGGACCAGTTTACTGGAGGTGTCCACCCCCACCCCCCACATCTATTTAACTTTCCAATTATCCACAGTCACCACTGCTCTCTATTGTCTGCCTGGCTTGGAGGCCATATGTTAGCAAATTTTTATTATTACCACGTGTGAGAAATATTTTGTTTTATGCTGTATGAAAATGAAAGATAGACCATAAAGATTGTGAGATCCCCAGACCTTCTCACTTGCTCATTTATTTTACCTGCCCAGCTGCTGTTTGCATCTGAATATTTAATCCTTAAATTAAAATGTCAATCAGGAAATTCACCTGACTATCTAGAGCAAAAAAAAAAAAAAAAAGGAAAAAGATAACTACTTGCTATTGAGATTATTGTGTAATTAAAAATTTAGGGCACTTTGTATCCCTGGCACTATGTTGGCTGCTTTCTTCCATAATAATTAGAATCGCCTGTACAGTTGGTTTTATTGCATGTATAGTTCCCACTGGAGAAAATGTATGTTTCAGCTTCAGAATTGAAACAACTTGCCTACAGTTTCATAGCCAGTGGGAGGCCGAGTTGATACTGTTTACCTCTTACAGAGTTTTCCATCTTTTTGTCCATTTTTATCCTTCCCAAGAAATCTAAGAAAATAAGAGCTACTTCCAATACCCATGCTTCTCCAACACCCAGTAAATCTCTGAGAAAATTCAACTTGTTTTACAGAAATAGAAAATTCCCAAAGATCCCAGTTCCACACTGAGAGCATGTATCCTCAGGAAGAATGAGTAATGGAGAAGCTGCCAGATCATCTTTTTGAGGAGCGTTCTGATGGGTGGCTCGTAGACCTCCATCTGCCATGCTAGTCTTAAACCCAAGTTCAGATGTCCCCGGAGTTATAATCTGTATCCCCCACAACAGAATTAACACACTTAGCAGAGCCTCCTAGCCAAGCTTCCCATCACACTTAGGACCCAGTCTTATTATTCATCACTGGAAACTTGGCAGCTGCTAAACTTTTCTTGGATACATGATTGAAGGCATGCACGGATGCAGTGCGGGTGTCGAGAGTTGTATTTTACTATTTGAAGATGAACTAAAAATTGGATGACTCTAGTAATTTGAAATTTTGCTGAAGCAAAACTTTGACATCTTCTGAGGATGAATTAGGTAGCTAATGAATAAATCTCACTGATCACTTAATTTTCTCACTTCAACATAAATTTATTGATTCTGACTCTTTTTTAAAGGGTTATTGAGGTATCATTGACAAGTAAAATTTGCATATATTCAAGGTGACCAACCTGATGATTTGAAATATGTCAAGATAGTTAACATTTCCACCACCTTACCTAGTTACCATTTTTATTTTCTGATTTTCTCCTCTTTAAATAGTCACTCTTATTGAGGATCTGAGAATTCCCCATCTATTATCAGGTGTGCTCCATGAAATCTATGGGACCATGTATTTGCAGTGGTGTTCCTCAGGAATCAAGGGCACAGAAGCTTGGAATACTACTTACTTGTCTTTGAAGCCAAAAGTCTGCATGATCTCCTCTAGAGAAGTTAACTGTCTTGTCATCTGGATTCAGATTTGTGTTTTATGTCAGTTCAGTTCTATGGTGACTGTTCTGCCCATAGCCTCATACCCAGTCCATGTGACAAAAGAAGCCTTTCAATATCCCAAGCAGGTACATGGGTGAGGGACATTATTCCTGTCTACTAAGAATGTATGGCTACCTGGACTAGGCCATGGGGAGCATATGCCATCTGGTGGGATATGAAGCTGCACATCTCATCGTGTTCTTGAACTTCGCAGCTGGCTAGTTGACCCTGGCTTCCCTTTGAGTGCAGGGCAGCAAGATGAAGGAGCAAGGAATGTGCCATTCCCAGACAGACACCATCACTGTGCTCCTTTGCAAGAAAAGAAAAAGACTTGACCAATGACTTCATTTCACTAGCCTCAGCTTTTGCATCTTTTAAGCAAGGAAGACTGTTCTTAGGGCTTCATGTGAGCCCAGAGCACTGAAATGCTTAACATCTTTGGCAAGGTCCACATTCCAGAGATGCTGGCTATTCATGTGTGGATTTTGAGTTGTGTCCAAAATCCCACAGGTCTAGTTTTCAGGCCCTGGCAAGGCATTGATCAGTAACTGTTTCTTTAAAGTAAATATGTGCACATATGGCTGATGCAATGAGATTTAGCTTTCCTTGCTTTATCTTCTCACACAAATACACATGAGCACATATGTGTGCATGTGGAAACACTCACATGCACGTGTGCACACATGCATGGTTCTACTTCTTGGTTAGAGGAAATACCCATTGTCAGGTTCACCTCTTCAGGCATTGGGAAAGTTGCAAAACTAACATTTTCACCCAAGTGGAAAATTTTCCTGCCACAAGGACCAGAGATTTGCTTCATTCCAGCACTGGACATTCAAAGCATATTGTGGGAAATTTCTATTTAATTTAAGGATATGTCTTGGGTTGTAGGAACTAGGAAAAAAGGAGCATCAGAATTAATCATTCTTTTGGGATTTCAGTTTAGAGTGTTATTATGTTGAGGGTGTCCTTTTGTTTAATAGCACCCCATGTTAGAATAAAAACAGATGGGCTCGGTCAAATTGGTAGTCTTTGGCACAAGAAAGAATACCAAAAACCAGCTAGCATACGCTAATGCTATGGTTTATAACAGAAAAAAAAATAACTTAAATGTCAATCAGTGTGGAAGTCCTCAATAAAACCATCTACTCATTTGATGGAATATTATATAACCATGCAAGTGAATGAGTTTGGTCTGTATGTATCACTATCCAAAGAACTCCATATTGATCCATAAAATCTGATTAAAAACAAATGTACAACATGATCCCCTTTATATAAAAGCAGGTACATAATACTGTGAATCCTGTCAAAATACTCTTACTACATATATATGCATGACACTACAAAAGTAAAAATACAGATGGTAATTTCTATCAGGGACTTCCTCTGAGTGGGGAGCAAGGCAAGCTGGCAGTTGAGCTATTCAAAATACACATTGGCCCTTTCTTAAACCAACCTTCCTCCTTCTCTCCCTCTCCCTCCCCTCCTATTTTTCAGGAAGTCTGCATTTTTACATAGTGTGTGTCATTAAAATGCTAAAGTAAAAATCCCATACATCCCTGATGCCAGTACTAAAATTATATTCTTTTTAAAACTTACAAAACAAAGAAAAAATATCTTGCCCCCTGCAATACAAGTAAACCATAAGCATAAACGCCCACCCTCATGTAGTTGTGAGCATGTTCTCTATAACTTTTCTCCCACGAGGGTCCCTCACAGTCTTTATCCTGCTCATTTGTGTGGGCCCGACTGGCCACAAAGCACTGACCTTCAATTACTGTGCTACTTTCTACCTAGTTTTTGGTCCAGTTGAGCCCCTGCCCAGCCTATCAGCAGGTTCCCCCTTTTCTATATTAAGAGCGCTTTAGCCTGAGGAGGGTGAGAGAATCAACGTGTTTGAACATCTTTAACGACTCTTCATATATTCCGAATTGTTTCTAGGAGAGCCTGCAGGACTCCTGGATGGGTCTGGGATGGAGGGCACTGTCCTGGGGGAGATGCCACATACCCCTCCATGCCCCACCTGGGCAACCTGGGGGGCGTAGCTCAGCGCTCACCCGTGGGCTCTCAGAGAGGACCTTGCCTGCCCTCACACCTGCCACTCAAAGCTTTGGAGCCCCCAAGCCAGAACCAGCCCTGCGGTGCCACTCCCGGGGAGGACGTGGTGGGTAAGGGGACAGTGAGGAGGAGGAAATGGGCCTCCAACCTCCCTCCCCTTGCTACTATCACAGTGCATGGAATTATCCAACAAATGCTCAAATGATGGCTGCATCTCAGGCCCAACGGGGAGTTATTCTAGAGAGACTAGAAAAAGGGCACCCCACTTAGCCTGAAATGTGCCTCTTGTTGTGAAAAGGATCGTATTGACTCAGATGGTTCCTTGAGGCCGGTCAGCAGCCGGGACCCGGTGGCCAGGCCGAGGCCAGTGTGGCTCGTGAGAACACAGTCCCTGATCAAATCGTTTAATGGACTCAGAGGCAGAGACGATTTCATCGCCAATCTACTCACCGTTTGTGTAAGGGTTGACGGTCTTTTTATTTGTCATTACGCGTGCTGTGGCGTTATTTACCTACGTACATAGAAAACTCGAGTGAGCACAGATTCCAGGGCGAGCCGGACATTCTATTAGTCGCATGCATTATGACTGTGATTACTTATTAACAACAAGAACGAAAAAAACTAAAATGCGTTTTAATTTATAAAAGGCAGTAGGTGCATAACAGAAATCATACATTTTGATAATTACATTTACTTCATCACCATTTTAACTTACAAATCATTTCAATAAAGCAATGTCATATCATTGAAAAGTTTAATAAGGAAACAGTAAAAGCAAATGAAAAGGAACCGCATAATTGAAGATTTAAAAGCATGCATGTACTCCATGGTAACACAGAAACGATAAATATTTTTTCAACGTAAAATAAAGTTCATATGAAGGGGCATGCAGTGGCGAAGAAGAGCGGAGAGAGTACAGGGAACATGAATGTCAAAGGAAGGGACAGACAAGGAACCACATGAGCAACACTTTGGGGGGAAGAACCATCGGGAGAGCAACATCTAGCATTCAACACTTGGAACAAGACCTTTGACATCGCAAGAATTAACAAAATCATTCAAGCTTTAGAGTCACAGCTAACGAAAGAGGGGGAGGGGTGCATTGTCGAACACGATATGGAGTTAACAATCTGAGTAAGATGTGCACGGGTCATATCTCAATCCAGTCAGTGCCTCCCAGGCTAGCTTAGAACGTACACTCAATTACAGGCGTACCAATATCCAAAAAAATAGAGCATCAAGAAAACTTAATACGACAAGTCAAAAAAATTCACGTGGTATATATATGTATATAGATATATCAGCACTAAATACGGGAAACGGCAGATGGACTTTGCCACTTACCATTCACCACCACCGCCAGCAAGGTTTGTATACAGTTACCATGGTTACTGAGAGTTTGGTGAGGGGCCTAAGCGTTATCGTCGAAGGGGGAAAATGAAAGGCAAAATATGCAACATCTTACTCCAAAGACTAAAGCATTTTTAACTGGTTTTTTTTTTTTTTTAAAGTTTTAACAAATTATGACCCTGGGGCCACGTTGAGGGAGATCCAGTGGTACAAAATGGGGCGGATCGGAATCTGAGCGTCTATGTTTTCCATGAAAGGGGCCAGATAGTGAACAGGAAATCCTGTTCGGTTGTTCACCGAGCAAAAGAACTCCAGACCAAGCTGGCTTCTTCAGCAAAAAAATGAGAGGCTTAAGCATAAAGATCTCTCATTTTTTTTTGTTCTCTCGAATGCGATTGCTTTCACAATTTGGTTTAATTTGCACACCACTGTGGATCTCTCATCAACCCTGCGGTGGAAAGAAAAAGAAAAGAAAAAAAAGAAACTCTTCTGTTTTGCTTTTTTTTTTTTTTTTTTTTTTTGTTCTTCAACCCTATCTCTGCTGTTTGGAGCCTACTGCACCCATGGCTTCTAAAACAATGGAAAATAAAACAAAACAAAACAAAACAAAAGAAAGACCTTCAGGTGAACGTTTCCTGCGTCTCACTTCTGCCATTCACCTTTCAGCAGTCATAAGAGTAACGTAACCAAGTAAAAGTAAAATAAAAGTAAGGCCAGTTTTCCTTTTTATATATAAATATATAAACAATGAGAAGGGAGCAGGGACGTATACAAGACAGGATGAAGCGTCTGAAACAACAAATGAGGGCGAAGCACACATTTATAAAAAAGATGAAAAGGAAAATATTTTGAACATGCACCTCGATTTTACGGCCCTCTACCACGGTGCCGTGTAATTTCTCCCTCGCCCTGTCCGCATCGGCACTATTTTCGAAAGTTACGAAACCAAATCCCTGCATGCAGGAGGGAGAAGGGAGAACAACATGCAGATTATTATTTCAGTCAACGACCCCGTGAAACGTTCTCGCTTTAATGTCTAAGTCTTGTCCTGGCTCCAGTTCTGTAACATGCAAATTAGAGAAATTATAAGAGTACTAAAATGTGCAATAAGTAAGCGACAAATGTGAACGAGATTTTTTTTCTGTCACCCGTTAGCTGTAACCCTTGAAGAATTCAAAGAATGATACCCAAAATACCTTTCTAAATGTCACTACAGAAGAAAATAAATCTAACGGAAAGAAAATGAGATCAAAATAAATTTACAGTGTCTTCACAGAGAAGAAAATGAAATAACGAGGAAAGAAAAGGGAACCACTTTCTTGACATGCAAATTAAGAAAAAAAAAAATAAAATACAATGTGTGCACAAAATCCAACAATGAATGCCAAAATCTCCTGGTGCTGCCTACAGAGACATGCCACGTGGTTTTAGGACATCTCTCCTCCATGCAACTGTAGGGCTATTTGAGTTTGTCAATTCTACAGCCTTAACTTCTCGAAAATAAAAATTAGAAGCCTAAAAAAAAAGGAAAGACCTTTTTTCATCACACATCTTAAACTCTTTGATCTAAGAAACAAAAGAATCACATGAAATGAAGAGAAATAAACATCCATTGATTGAGAATGCACACAGTTTGGTTATGGCTTCGAAACTCCTTCCCGCCCAACACCCCCATAACATCCATGCTTCTGAATGTGTCAATTTCCCAGGCTACCGTATTAACCAAAAAGGGAAATGTGCAGACATGGAAAAAACTTCTAAGCCTGGTGGTCATCTGCCACATCAACAGGTGGGAAATACAGCAGCTTGGTTGACAAATCGTGTTATTTACAGTAACGCTGAGCACTTCCTCGTTCACTGATCATAGAAAATAGGCCCTTTATGCACCACTGGTGTATTTTGCTTTAACATTTCAATCTCAAAACACAACCCCACTAAACATCATATGGTCAAAATCCACTTTTCTCTCCACTGACACTGTTCCTAAGAAGAGCTCAGAAAATAGAACACAATATTTTTGAACCCCCTAAGAATATTTGTACATCTTGTTCAGAAATATACACCAACCTTTTGAAACAATTCCAGTGTCAATTTGCCCAGCTTTTCCGGGATTTCACAAGGGGAAATGAAGCGGAGTGTTGGGGCTCCCGTCCACCTTGGGTAAACTGGCCAAGGCAGGAAGGCAGCCTGGTCAGGGATAAACTCTAAGCACAGTAGTTTATCCTCAGTGAGTGTTAACTCCCACTTTGTCACCATCGCTCAGCTGATCTCTGCCTTGCCGGGAATTTAGATGTCACCAGTGACTGCCTAAGAGAGGGCGTTCCAGTACTAAAAAGGGTCCACCCACAGAGGACAGCAGCTGGGGAGGTCTTCAAGCTAGATGAGATGATTACTTGACAGGATTCTAGAGAACAGAAATGAACTTCTTGCCTTAGGGAAATTGGGCTGAATTAATCTTTATTTGCAGCACATCTCTTCATGAGGATCTGTGATGAGCAAAGGTCTGAATCATTTGATTAAATATGATTATGATTATACCCTCCACACCAAAACGGCCCTGCTTATGTGATATGACCATGTCAGGTACTCAAATATACTTGCTAACAGCAGAGGTTTGAAATATGAGCTCTCTAGTATGCGGAAGACAGTGTTTGGGGACAGTGTTTGGGCAGCTCTGGTTGATGGACAGTGGGGCCCAGAATAAGTTGAAGTTCAGAAGGAGCTGGGGAGCATGCCCTACACTTTTAGACTCCTCTCTTCTGCCACCAATTGCCATCTCAGGAGCCCCGAGTCCAGCCCAGAAATCTGCTTGCCCAAGAAGCTACCCACGTGACCTGGCGGTGAGTTTCCATGGCCCCTCCTGTTGCTGGGCACCGTGGGAAGGTTGTAGGTCTGTGCATGAAGTGGAATATTAGACTGTCAGCTTCCACCGAGCAGCCTGTGGAGTGGGTGTGTCTGGCACAGTTCTCTGGACCTTATATGAGGGGTACAGGCCAAATCACACAGCCATGTTGTCCTCCTAACCTCCGAGCCGTAAGTATGTCATGCATTTAATACGTAATGTAGTGTGGGAAAACAGGGCTGTGTCGGGCAACTCTCTCACCGGGAGGGAAAATCCCCACTACAGCAGGATCTGGAGGCCCCTGTGGCTGTGTGTGGGGCCAGAAGCCCCTCCCACCGGGCAGGAGGATGGAACGGGGAACACAGCACCTCCTAACATCACCCCAGAGAGTCCAGTGTTCACCCTCCTGGGCCTCAGGAGGACCAGGCCAAGACACACCCGCCTAGAAGCATCCGTGTGGGGCAGGGAGAGGCCACGGTGGAGACCAAAAGCCAAGGAAACGCTCTAAACTATAAGGGAAATTCTTCTGTTCTCAGTTTGTTTTGAAGCAAAGATAATGTATTGTTTCTTTTCCTCACAATTCTTACTCTCTTTACATTTTGACACTTTTTCTTTCTTTTCTTTCCTCTTTTTTTATTTTTATTTTTAAGCTGCTGGGATGAAAAATTTGAAAAAGACTTCCCAAAAGCATGTCCCCCCTACACCCCCCAAATCCACAGGGCCTCTCCTGCCTGCTCTGCTGGGCAGCTGTGCCCCCACCCAGGCAGAACATGCTGCGCAGCCGTCCCCCAGCTGTGTCCTTTCTACCAAGCAGAGTCTGGGCGACCGCGAGCAGGAGCTGATTCAGAGCCGCCTCCTGGGCTGAAAGAATTCTATCTCAAGAAAATTGCTGATCTTAAACACATTCTGTTGTGCACACAGCCTTAGAGAGAGGGAGGGATGGAGCCGGCACCTTCTAGACCAGTCCAGAGAGCACGAGCCGGGGCACCTACTTGATGGAGAACAAAGAGGCTGCTGGGGTGAGGGGCAGCCCCTCGGAGTTTGTGCCCAGGGTGTAGCCGAGCTGGACAGAGCAGGGGGAAGGGCATGCTGGGACCACAGCGTTGGACACACTTTCGTCAGCCCAGCCGGAGACCAACATGGCGCCAGACCAGCACTGCTTGTTGAAAGTCTTTGTGAACCATAAATTCTGACTTTCCTGTACCCTAGTTTTTTTGTGCGTGTGTTTTGTTTTTTTGTTTTGGTCCTGTGTTATATTTTTAAGTGATCTTTTCTGCTTTGTACTAATGTAAATACAACATTTTATATCATAAGACTCCGGAGCCCCTAGGATGGATGTGTGCCCTGAATTTCCATGTTCTATGAAAATCCAGTTGCTCCAGTTCCCATGCAGAGACCTGCTGTCTGAAGGAGGGGGCTGAGGTCTGCTGTGCTGTGGGCCAAGGAGCGGGCATCTCCCTCCTCGCCCCGGCCCCTCAGGAGCAGCTTCTTCTCCCAGGGAGAACATGTTCCTCCCCTCTGCACCCTGGAAAATTCTTACTCATCTCTCCTCTCAGCTTAAATGCTCCTTCTTCCCAGAAGCCTTCCTGCCTTCGAACAATATCGATCTGCCCCTTGGACAGCCTCTTCCCTGGCTTTGAACGCAACCACTTTGCTGCAGCTGTTTGTCTTGATGATCTGCCCCTCCTGCTCCTCAGGAAAATCTATGAGGACAGGACACGCTTTCGTCTCTCTCGTGGTTACTCACCAGGCCGGTGCTTGGCATGAGACCAGTGCTATGGACCTCTATGGAATCCAAGATCAGGCTGTAGATTTCCTACTGTATTGAACAGTAGCTCTGTCTGGCTGCGTCCCACAAATAAAACTCTCCAGAGCTAAACAAAATGCTTTTCAATCTTCTAAAAGGAAAATGAAGCTCAGGATCTCTCACCTCTAAATGCTGGCTAATTCCCATTTTCAAAGGCTGGGAGATCGTTTTGGAGAATGTGGTGTCCCTGTGGTCTCGCTCTGCTGCATCTCTGTGGGTTATTGATGCTGCACATAGTCAGGATGAGACAGACGCTGCCTAGATGGGTATATGGGTGCCCCCAGCACCCACGGAGCACGCAGCCAAACTCACCACCCAGCGCTAAGTGACCAGCCCCAACAGCCCCCAGGCCACAGCGCCCTGGAGGAGCTCCTGGCTCTGAAGGCCACCCCCTTCCCGGCTGCTTCTGCAGCCCCCAAGGATGCAGGAGACCATCGCCAACATTCAGGGTGCTCAGCCTTTAAGGTGGGAATGTTTCCTTAAATAAGGCCTCTCCAGGGAAAGCCTCCCCCAGTGAAGCTGCGCAGGGTGAGGCTGCCCATCAGCTGCCGCTGGACGCTCCTGGGGGCCACACCTGCAGGACTCGCTCTTCCCAGGGAGCACACCCAGCGAGAGAAGCTATTTTGATGTTTCCTAATCAAAAAAAAAATTTTTTTTTAAAAGCGGCTCCACAAAGTCAATCTCTGGATGCAGCAAACCTAAACGGTCCTGTTCCCGAGGCCCCCGAGACAGGCTAATCACGGGAATGACGGAAGGAGGCTTAAAAATAGCTCCGCCATTATACCGCCTGAATAGCAAGTGATCTTCTTCTAGAGTCCCCACGCGGCTCCCGACGGAAGGGATAACGTGCTCGCGTGGCAAAAGTTCCCAAACAAAATACAAATAAAAGATAAATTAAAAAACATAAAAACATAAAAACTTTATAGGCAGTTGTGCTACAGGCGCTGGCTTAGGAGAACGTGGCCAACATGCTGGGCCAGCTTCTGTGCGAGGCCAGGAACCCACCGGGGCCAGGGGGTTGGGGGGCTTGGGGGGGACACGGTGGTGCCTTTGCTCTGAGCACACTTTGCTTTGTGGGTGGAAGGACAGTCCCCGTACGGATTTCCATACAAGAAGCTGAGAGTGCGTGTTTTCCTCGGGCCTAGGGGTGAACCTCTGGCCCCCTGTGGCTGTCAGACCTCTCATGTTGTGGCCCAGTGACACGGTCCAGCAAATGGCAGGACCAGAGCAGAAAGGATTGGTTCTGAACCTCATCTAGCAGAGCACAAGCTCATGTGGGCCCAAGAAACCAGAGTCCTAGAACGTTCTTTCCTGAGCTCAATATGCCTCGTCCTGTCCATTCCTATGACGCCTACTCAGCAGGGAGGAGGCTGCCCAGGACTATGACCCCTCATGTGTGCCCGGGGCTGCTGTCCCCAAGAGAGACACTGACCACCTTAGAGAAACCAGCCCCAGAAGCTCTGCTGAGTCCCGGCTTCTCCGGCATAGCCTGGGGAGGACGGTGATGGCTACACAGGGGCCGGCACCTGGTCAGCAACTTCCCTGGATGTGGTCACAGTGTGAGGAGGCCTGGAGTGGGGCGGACCTGGGGCCTGCACTCAGGGAACTGGGCTGGATTCTCAGAAGCCTCTCTTTTCCAGTCGCGGAGCCCCAAACCCCCATTCTTCACTCATCACTGGTCCCCACTGGGTATCTGCATCTACGTCCCACATTTTCCTCCAGGAGGATTCTGGGGTGGGGGTGCTCAGCTTTCTGTGGGTGTAGGCAGAAGGGGCACAAGTAGCCCCACATGGGAGGGGCCCACCAGGGGGCATTTTGCATTCAGAGGCAGCATCGCCTTTGTCTAAACCAGGAGGGTGCAGTGTTTGTGGCTTTGAGGACAAGCCTGGAAGTTTCCTTAAAACACAGACACTGAGATCCATTTTCAGACACTCTGACCCTGCAGGACTGGGCTGGACCTGCAAGATGCACATCCGGGTTCCCAGGAGAGCAGATTTTTTTCCCCTACCAACCTATTTCCATTTTGAAGGTGCTGGAGACTCTCCCTACCAGCCCTGACTTTTACTAGCATTGTTGGCTCCAGCAAACGCTACTTCTAAGTGGGTTTTAGGGAGGGAAAGAAACACAACCACCTCAAAGTCATGGCAAATTGCCAAAAAAAAAAAAGTGTGTTGGTTAACACACTAATAAAGGAAATGATACTCAAAAGGTTGGTGTATATGCCGCGTCTCCCCTACAACCCAGGAAAATAACTGCACTTTATTAACACAGAATGATCACATATTTACCTGCTCGTGAGACTATCAACTCACTTTTTAATATAAAGAACATAATTATCACTGAAAAACAAAAATGTAGCAACAACATTATTTTTTAAGCATGGGCAATTTTCTTCGGGAAACTTGATCTAAGATATAGATAGAAAACAGCAGTTTTAAATGACCCCCTTCTACATTTTCAAAGGAACCCATCCGACTTCCCAGCGCGTGGGACACTGAGGAGGAACAAAGCATGAGCTGCCTTGTCCCCAGGAGCTGACCCAACAGTGCAGTTGTTTCCCATTATCCATAAAACAAGAGCTTTACCATAAGCTAAACCGTGTTAGAGTGAAATAAGTTGCTTACCTTTGAGCCTCGCTCATTAAAAATAATTTCAACATCTAAGATTTTACCAAATTGCTGCAAAGAAATAGAAAGATTGTTTAAGCAGGCAGAGAAAACGGGGCAAACCACATCCTGCACTTGGGACACTGTTCCCCACGTCAAAATTTTGTTTCTTTTCTAATATCAAGGATGTGCATTCTGAGGGGTTCTATCATGACAAGGCGCTGCGATCATCTCTGTATTACAGGGTGAGAGGAAATCATTGTAGGGTCTGGTGCAGAGTATGGCACTGAGAGGTTGATTCTGTTTTCCTTTCCTTATGTGGTTGTGATTTGCTTTCCCAGGCACTGAGCAGCAAAGATTATAAATGCACTGACCTCACTGGTGTATGCACTGACCCTCACTGGCTACTGGCTACTGACCCTCACTGGCTACTGACCCTCACTGGCTACTGACATCACTGGCTACCCACCCTCACTGGCTACCGACCTTCACTGGCTACTGACCTCACTGGCTACTGACCTTCACTGGCTACCACACTGGCCACTGGGATGAAGTGGGATTTTGATGGTAAAATGTTCAACTAGAGTATGAGGTTGAGGATTTTGGGTCCCATCCCATAAAAGCCTGGAGCAGCCAGGCCACGGAGGAGAATAAAGCAAAAAGGGATAAAAGCGAGGTCCCCCACCGAGCACCCATCACTCTCAAGACAGCAGCACAGCTGGGCTTAGTCCTCAGGCTGAAATGTGCTTCTCTGGATGGGTCTCCATATTGTTAAACAAACATAAAGATTTCCAACAATTAGCATGAACAGACTAGGAAGGGAAGTGAAGGCAAGGCGGCTCTGTACATTCTAGAAAGGAGGTCTCAGATTGCAAATACATTGGACTGCCAGGTAAAATACAGGTGCCTTATGAAGGAGAAATTCCAGATGTTTCAGGATTCCTCTGACCCTTGTAGTACTTGAGACATTCTTTACTTAATAACGGATTTGTTGTCTACAATTCAAATCCAGCTACTGTGTGTTTTCTTTTCTTTTTAATTTGCTAAACTAGTGAGAAATCTAGTTCGGATGAGAAATGAACCTCAAGTAATTCTTGATTCATACTTTAAAAAAGGTGGGGACATGAACCCCGAAAGCAGGAACATCTGATAATCCCAAATCCTTTTCTCTGGTGTTGGAATCGGTCCATTTTCTTAGATCACAAGAAGCAGAGGGCAAGGTTTGAATGTTGTCTGTTCTACCTAAGTGCACGTGAGTGAGGGGGTTGGAGGAGCAAGTGATGTGGCCCAGGGAGACATCAGATGGAAACTGCACCCTGATGTGGAATAGAGCCAGTGCTCGTTTGAGCGATTAAAAAAATAAACTGAACATAAAGTCATATTTCCATCCTTTTTTTCTTTATTTTGAGCTTTTGCAGGCTGCATTTTTATCGCATCCTTTATTACCCTAGGAGATTCTGTGCTCTCTCTCTCCCCTGGGTGGGAAGCATTAAGCAGACTGCAGCAGAGGATAGAGATTGGGAAGGGGCTCAACAGAGAAGGAGCAGGTAGAACACAGAGAATCAGGAGCACTCGCCTGACCTCGGTGCCTCAAACAGACCATGCTGGGAGGGTCCTCCTAAGATCTAAGAACAAGAAGTATCTGGAACCACAGGCCATCTTCTGGAACACACAGCGAGTCTAGATGGGAGGAAGATGGGTGACGGCCTGCGTTCTGCAGTCAAATCTCAGAGCTGGAAACTCTGGGGTGAGGGGGGTTCTGACTGAGAAAAATCTAAAGCTTCTGTCACTCCATGCTGGGACTCTCTCGGGAACGTCCTCAGCCAAAGGGTGGCGGGCTTCATTTTTCCCATTGAGCCCAAGTGTTTCCTTTGCAGAGAAACAGAAGGGTTGAAAGAAATCAGGAAGGGATAGCTCAGCCAGGAGACGAGACATAAAGCCTACAGGTTTCCAAGGCCATGGATGCAGCAAGGACCTTGCGCCAGCTCACCCTGCAACCAAGATTCTGATGCACTCTCTGGGTCAAGAGAATATTTTTCTACAGATCGTCTCAAGGGCCCTAGATTTGGGCAGAGAAAAATCATTAAAAATAGAAGAAGAAAATATACAGATTTGGGAAAAGAAGGATTTGCCATTCAAGGTGAACTGAATTTCATAGCAGGAGGGAAAAAAACCCTCCAGCTTCGTGAGCCCCTCAGAAGCAGTCACCGTGACGTGGCTTCCTTAGAATATTCAGCTGACGCAGAGGCCACCCTATTAATTCCAGGCATGAGGGCCTGGAAGCACATGTTCATGGAGAGAGAAGCTCACAAAGGACTTCTTCCAAAGCCACAAAGACAATATCCCCGACAGAGCAGAGCCCTGTCTACAGCGTCAGCACAAACATAAGATCTGCCGGAGAGAGAACCAACCACAAAGCCATCTTCGCTTGCGTCCTTCCCTAAAAGGAAAGCTGTCGCCATATGCCCTGAAACGGTCTCAAATGTTGGCTTTTCTGGCGGCTGCCATGAGGTTGACATCTCCCAGCCACCAGAAGAATGCTGATGTAAGCCCCCTTTCGGAGACAGTTGTGTACTATATTTATAGTATCAACAGTTTAATTGGGAAGTTGGGTACTAATGATGTAAACACAGCTGGCACATTTTCAATTTAAATAGACACGACTCATTCGCAGACATCCTGCGTTTGTTTGCTCAACACCGACGTTCAGTGTCTCAGCCTCGCGTGAGGTGTCTCCGTCGTGTGTCAGGAAGAGTCTGGGAGCTTTGGGGCATGCACTTGGGCAAATAGGTACCAGGTGTTTTCCAACATCTTCAGATCAAATAACAGTTCTCTGAAAAACTGGGAAAGTTGTTCAGTGGATCCAGCATAAGGCACGGAAGTGAGGTTAGTTCAAAGAGCGCATGGGGGTGATGACCAGCGTGGGCTCAGTTTTCTGGGTGCAGAAAGGGGTGGCCTCCCACCATGTCCCCGCCTCATGACATCATCATCCATGGGATTTTGGCCTTGACATTGACGACATCTATGATCTTACTCAAATTTATTGCCAAAAATTTGATCACGATGTCTGCTTCTCCACGTTCTGAATTTGCTTTTAAGAGTAGACTTTGGTAGAGGGTCCTGTTCATGACCAGAGGGTGTGTGTCTTGATGACCAAAGTGAGGCTGTGCCAGCAACAAGGGTGGGTCAAATCTGTAACTGTGTTCCTGGAATAGTTTTTTCTGGAGATGATTCTACAATACAGTGTGTTGCCTCTGTGGTCCGGATGTGTCCCCCAGCTTTAAACATCAAACTCAGGGAGGCCACCTATGCAAGTGCACACACTTGGTGGGAAGCCCGCTGTCCCTCTGTGGGCCCATGGAGATTGCAAAGGTAAAGGAAGCAGATGTGCCAGTCCTAACACATCCAGGCTTGAGGAGAAGGTCACCAGGCCCAGAACCACTTCCCCCCCTCTCTGAAACCTCCAGAAGCAATGCCCCTCACAGTAGAATAGTCCCACCCTCCCACACCCCACTGGGGTTTTAAAAAGACTCCAGCTTCTGCTTGGACATGGAGGCCTCATAACTTTTGAGCAAGGGATGTTCATTTTAAAAGAAAAACAAAGAAAGAAAGGAAATCCAAGATGACCTAGAGGAATTCATGACAAATACTGAAATTAATACTTGAAATTGGGAGGAGGGAAAGACAGACAGTCATGGAAGAGAGAGGAGAACAGGCTGGTGTGGGGAGGTGCTGAAGACACAAGGTAAAAGCAGAGTGTGGGGCAGGGATGAGGCTGCCGGAGGTGCAGACTTCACGGCTGGATGCTTGAAGGTCACAGGCTCTGTGTGAACACTGCTGGGCATTAGGCGGTTTGAGGAAGGAGGCTGTTTGCCTTATTTTGTCAGGGGTGGAAAATCCCTGGCCGTGGTTTATGAAGGAGAAAGGCAGACAGGTCTCGGAGGGTCTTCTCTGCATCCGCCCTTGTTGAAGGGACAAAGGCAACATATTGCACAAGAGGAGAGAGGCCTCTCCTGCGTAAGCGATGCAAGAAATACCCCACTGGCATTCGACTATCATTCCTCACAGCAGCTATGACCTCAAAGGGGAAACCATACTTAATCCCCTTTGCTGGAGCTTGGGGGTCAATCATTTACTGACCCGACGCCTCCGATGGGATTTGGCCACTGAAAGCTCCGAGTAACCAGAAAGGGTTGCGGCTGCCGTGCGGGGCCAGGAAAGACAGCTTCTTTGGGTTCACATTCTGTTTCTTCACAATGGTGCTGGGAAACCCAGGAGGCCTCCGAGTTATTGCAGGGTCCAGGAATTCACATGTGCGAGTCCCTTTAAAGGCAAAACCCATGAAAAAATCTTGCATACTTTTGAGAATGGGCACAGCTGCTGTTTGTGCTGAGTGCCTGCTGCATTTTTCTAATTGAGAGGTACTAAGTGCATCCATCATCTTGTCAAATCGACATCTTGTCAGCTGCTTGGGAATTTTGACTTTTACAGGAAGTGGCTCTGAAGCCAGTAGATTTTGATTAAGTTCTGACAACTGGTGGTGTGATCTTTGGCACCCAGAGTTTTCTCTGGGCCCCCTCTAAAAGAATCATGAGGTTCAGGGAGTAGTGCAAACAGGATGCTCTTGCAGCATTAGCTGTGTGCATGTGGAATACCTGCCTGACTTAGCAGACAAGACCTCCCTCCCTTTCAGGTAACCAAGACAACTGGGAGGGAAGAGCACCCTCCCAGGAGGGAGTCAGGTACGATGTAATGAGGGACACTCTGACCATTAAGAGGACCAAGTTCAAAGCCAAGCTCCCAGTGACACTTGATGACCGAAGAGCAAGACATCTTTGTAACCTGCAGTGGCTGAAGGAATCTAATCCCTCTGGTTACCCATCACTCAAACCTGGTCTCACTGTTTTCCACACACTTAACCTCCACTCTAACTTTGAATGCTCTGCACTTTTCAAAGGCATCTCTGACCTAAAAGTGCCCGAGGGTATCTCTGCTCTGCAAGAGTGAGAGGGCTCAGCTCAAGGTTATTACCAAATGAGAGAGATAAAAGTGCAGATGCTGACCTTTTCCTCTGAAATGTCAGCGTTCAAGTGTGGGTATCTTAAATATTAGGATGCTTTGTTCTGCCTTCATGTCAGCTGCATACTTGATAAACATCATGCATGTTAAAGAAATAAAAGGTGCCGGCTCATCTCACCATCACGGAATGATGACCCAGTGCCCTCACCACCACCCCCCGTTCATCGGGGTGGCGGGGGGAGATTAACTTTGCCCAGAACTAGACATTAAAGTTGGGTCTCTTCTGGTTCCTTTTGTAATATTTGCATCTGTCGACAAACTCTTGGAAGAAGACCCTGCTGGCAGCCAACCTTTACTCTATGTCAAACGTTAAGGATGTAGTTCTTTTCATTGTGTCCACAGATACTTCCCGTCAACGCTGGGAGGTCACGGGCAAATGGGCTGAATGCATTTGCAAAAATGAAGGATATCCAACTCCATCCAGCTCTGTCCTATGGTGGAACAGAGCCCAAAGAATGACAAACTCATCCCTTTCCAAGGTGAACAGTGCCAGGATCATCCAGAAAGAGAATGAGGGCCCTGACACCTATGAAACCAGCACCCCAGTCATTTATCTCTCTGGACTGGACACCATTTGCATTTAACTGTGGTGGGTGGGCATGGCCGTCACTGTGGCATCAACATCCCACAGGCGCCCTGAGCCTTCATCACTGATTTTGGGATAGTGTCTAGGGCAGGATGCAAGGCAGACTTAGAAATCTGTTTTGTTTTGTAATGAAGTTGCCAGCAGAACTAGCTATTCTCTACAACTGCCTCTGGAACCTCAATGCAGAGTGCCTGGGAAAGCCTAAGATCTGAAAGATTTGGCAAGAGTCACTCCACCCGATGACTGGGTGATCACAATGGAAGAAAGGGTGGAGTCAATTCATAATGTCTACTTCAGCAGGGACAGAGCATCTGGGGCCACTCCATCTGGGATCACCCATGAGCTCGATTCAACCTGGCAGTTTCTTTTCCATTTCACATTCAAATTTCTAACTAGAAGACCATTTGGCAAGGTGGAAACATGCATGGAAATTTATACTAAATCATAAAGGGACCCTACGCCAGAACAAGCCCACAGGCTAGGATCTAAAATGCCTCTTCCCCTTATGCAAACATCTCACCTTAGTATTCTTAGTACTAAGAACTTACAGGCGGAGACAAGGAAGGATTCTGGGGACCCCAGAGTGGGCACTGCAGAGGACAGAGGCTGTACTTACGCCAAACATTTGTCGAAGGTCCGGATCCCGGAACCTGAATGGGATATTGGAGACATGCAGCCGTTTGGGCTGGGACTTATTTTCCGTATTTTCAGAAGGTTGTGTCTGGGGCTGGCCATCCGTCGGTGCTGCGTCATCTGTCTGCTAAAAAAACAAGAGCAAAGCAAAGAGACTCTGAGTGGACGCCAAGGCTCTTTACAACATGCATTTGTTTCCCCAAGTGGTAGGAGAATCCAGAACAAAGGAAGAAGGAACAGGAGGGGCCTGCTGGTGTGGGTTGGCTACTCCTAAGCGGCCTATTCGGCCGCCATTTTGTCACCTAAACAAGGTCAAAGTGGTCCGGCCAGTTAGGAACAGGAGCCCAACCCTTAAACCCTTCAAATCAAACAAGAGCACAAAGCTGGATCACACTGGGAAGGTTAGGTATGTCCAGAATGCCCGGGGGAGGGGGGGCTGAGGAACGATGCATAACACATACTCCCGACTTATACATCACAAGGTATGACCTGGAATGCCCGGGGCGGGGGCAAGGACCAATGTATGACAAGGGACCCCAGACACTGATCAGTGGAAAGGCTTATTGATAACTGAAACGATGGCTGGGGAACTAGGGCTTGATCTCAATCACAATACCAAGTCATCAAGCAGATGAGAAGTGCCTGGAGGGCAGACTCACAATCCCTAATCTTCTACACCCTTCCCTTTCTTTAATCTCCTTAATCTCCTTACAACCAATTACGTGTATGAATAAAAGGGCCAGGATCTTGCTCTTCAGCAGCATCCTGCATTATGTAGCCTGCTCCACGACTCCCGTTTGTCAGTGTGGTGTTGTCCGACGCAACCTGCTGGGTCAGCTGTTCATTCACTCACCCATCATGGATCTGGGATTTAGTAGTGAGCAACGCAGGCAAAAAACCCAATAACAAATACAGAGCTGATAGGAGGGTGGGGAGTTTTAACAGGTAGTCCTAAGAAGTCTCACTGAGAAGGGGTAATACTCTTGAAATGGGTGAGACAGTGGATCCCTTAATCAAGATTGTTCAAAATCTGAATGCACCCCTACATTATTGTTGCGGCTTTGTAGGTAAAGTCTTAGTACATGTATTAAAATATTCGGAACAGTTATCTGGTGTTCTGCAGTGCAAGTCACCATCTGATTGACTGAACTTTTTTTTTTCAAGATCTTAACTGTTTTTTGATTGTACAGACCTGTGCTGTTCAACACAGCTGAACACATTGAAACTGAAATGAAATAAATGTAAAATTTTGTTCTTTGTTCACACTAGCCACAGCTCAAGGGCTCAGCAGCCCCGTGTGGCTCAGTGGCTTCCATATGGGACAATGCAGAAACATCTCTGTCTCTATCAAAGTCAATTTCTATTGGATGGTGTTGGCCTACAACCAGCCCCCACCCCCCTCCCATAAAAGTCTGGAGAACATGTTGAAACCCATATATATAAGAAGGAACTAGAAGAAAAGTCACAGCAACATTTGGTATCCCTATCACCCTTCCCCATGCCCACACTCCCAGTTCTACAGTCCAACATTTCAGGATTCTCATTTCCAAATACTTTCTCTGCAATTAGCACACAGTGCCTGCAGGTGGCGCTCACACCAGCTAGCTGCCGCTCCCCAGCCACCACGCAAGGGGTCCCATGTACCAGCAAGGAATTGTTTTCACCCATTTGTAAGCAATTCAGAAACATATAACTGGGACAAAGCTATCAAGCCAGGCAGCCGGGTGTAAAATAATAAAGACAGAGAAACAGACAATCTTACAAAGTGAAATATATATAATTAGCGACTTTCTCATCAGCCCTGGTAGTTATTGTCAGATTCTGCTGGCATTTTTCTTCCTAACACACCCTGAATTGCACTTAGAAGCCACACTTGCCCGTGCCTGGCACGCTGCTCTTCCAAGCTGGCTTGGTATCAAGAATCCTTCCTGCTGACCTCTTAGACTTTCAAATGTGAGGTCATCACGACAAAACCTGCTGCTTGGTGATTTCGTCTGTGCTGCTGGGCTGGACAGAGAGTGGTGGTGGTTTTCTAATCTGAAAATAAGCAGTGATAATAGTGGGCACCTTATAAGGCTCTGTGCAGAGCAGACACAGCCCTATAGGCTAACTTGGCAGAGAAAGGAAGGCAAGGGATTTTTTTAGAGAGGGTATTTTTTTTTTTCTTTTTCTTCATAAAGTTAAAAGCGAGGTGCAAAACCCTCTCCTGGGAAACAAAGTAAAGCTCCTCACCTGCTTATTAAACAACTTTATAAGCAGCTGCCCTACACTGGACATGTCAGCCTCCAAATGCACGCCGTTCCTGGTCTAGTGGGAGAGAAGGAGGAATCAGACAATGGTACGGACTGTCTGGTGCTGGGACCAGAGTGAGTCAGAGGCCGAGTGAGGTGCAATCAGGGATGGGGCAGCAGGACGTTCTGCAGGCCCGGCCCGGCCTGCGGTTACATTTTAAGTGGGAGCTGTCTAAGTTAAGAGCAGGACAGGGCCAGTGCAGAAGAGTGGAAAGCAAGACACAGAGGAGACACAACGTTCTGGATTCTGAGGTCCACTAAGCATGGACCTTAGTTCCCCTGGGAGGAGGGTCTGGCACCCCCTGAGAGGAGGGCAGGGTCAGGGGTGGCTCAAGAAGGGCCATGTGGGCAAAGCAGGAGTGGTCATTCCATCCTGACAGCTCAGAGGAGCCACTGAGGGTCAGAGCCAGGGGTGACGCAGAGGCTGAGCCCTGAGGACAAATGACACTTGCCAGGTGAAGATCTGGGCAGTGGATCATGAAGGAATGAAGTCAGGAAGGAGGGCATGAATGATGTGCCACCTTCAAGTGATAGTCGAACAATGAGAACCTAACACTGAGACCCCACTGGAGTGGGAACTGTGTTTCCTCTGCTGTTAACAAGAGTTTTGCTTCCATGTCCATGAGGTGAGATGACCTTGAATCCCGGGATGGTTGCTCTTCAGAGGGGTTGGGGTCCCAGCCTGCTCACATAGGTGCTAAGTGGGCAGAAGCAGCAATTTACACCTCAAGTTTCCAGCCCAGGTTTTCCCCTCTTGTTAGAAGTTGCTTCTCAACTGCAAATTAAAGCCAACCCCTTCTCATCCCAAGAAGGAGACTTAGAGTTGGATTTGCGCAGAACTGCTGGATGTTTCCATTTAATAAACCTATTACAGGAATTACAGAGATTATGATTAAACATATTAAATGATTAATAGCATTATGCCGCTCGCGTGAAAATTAAAATTAATCATCTTTAGTCAAACAGGACTTTGGAGAAATCTCTGCATTGTTTCCTTTGATAAAAACACACAATGCTCAATTAATCATTCCATAGACCACGCGGATGTCCCGATGCCCACCAACTGCGAGGTCGGAGCACCTGTGTGTTAACAACATTATTTAGCGATAACACACACTGTAAAAAACAGAAACATTACGGACATCGTGGGAGAATGCGGAGGAACAGGAAGATGAAGGTGACGATCCAAGAAGCTGAAAAAGAAAAAGCAAACAAAATGGACTGAGGATACCCACTTAGAGGGTGAGCGAGAACACATGGAAGAGATGGGGGTGAAGACAGAATTCCAGCGGCTGCGGCAAACACAGAGCCTCTGCAGTGGTCACGCCAGCCCCGCCCGCGCCCAGGCCACCAAGGCTCGGCCCTGCCTCACTCGACTTTTCTGAGAAGTTGCAGGGAAAATGTATTCAGAAAATGCCCATATCTCATGTCGCTGTCTCAGTCTCCTAACGTTTACCACTCACTCGGTGACTTAAGGCAACAGCCGTGTTTTCTGTCCGGTGTCCACGGGGAGGGAGGCCTCAGTTCAGGGCTGAGCTCCCCCTGGAGGTGCCGGAGAGTCCACCTGCCTCTCCAGCCCCTGCTGGTCCCTGGGTGTGGGGCTGTGGGGCTCCTTCCTCTGCCTCCATCTTCATGTCGCTTTCTCCCCTCCCGGAGTCGCCACGCAAACCTCCCGCTGCCTGTGTCGTCTGTGGGTGATACTATTGGCTTTAGCGCTCACTGACATCCAGGGTGATCCCTGATGAGATCTGCAAAAACCCTTTTTCCAAATAATGTCACATTTGTCGGTTTGACAAGGTCAGGGCATGGGCATAATTTTTGGAGTCTACCCTTCGACTCCTGTGGTCCCCGGCTAAACAATGCAGCCACCGGGCATGACAATGATGAGCTGCTAGCAAGGTGGGGGATGAGTTTCCTACTACCTCAGACAGCAGGGAGTTCCCCAAAGGGTGGATCTCTAGCAGGACAGAAGCAGAAAGAAGGATTTTGCCAGGAAGCCCATTGAGTTCCCCTAAAAGAAAGAAGACTTGAGTCTTCCCTCTGCCAGCCCAGGCGAGCAGACCCATCTCTGCACCTGACTCTGGATGCAGCTGGGCTGAAGGGCATCCACCAGCCCCCCGCAGCCATCACTTTCCCTATGGGCTGCCAGAGCCCAGCCCTGTACTCTGCATAGATGGATAAACTAATCCTGAGATGTGCTTTGAAGCTTATGGCAGAGGCACAGAGTGAAAGTTCTAAGATAAAAATAAAACAGGGTGACAGAAGGATGGAACTACACATGTAGAATGTGCGCAGGCTAGAGGCAGGGGTCACCTGACTTGAGCCCCCTGCATGTCCAGGCTATGTGGGGATTACCAGCTGGAAGACTCTTGGTTGATCCTTTTTCAAGTCGTTTGACCCCTAACGTGAGCCCCAGCTGGATGGGCAATGCCCCTCGGAAGCATGTTTGGGAGATCAGATGGTGGAACCCAACAAACCAGCAGAATAATACTGAACTCACTCGGGAAATGGAGAAACTGAAGTCATTCTAGCTCCTGTTCTTATGGCTGCTGTTCATGGCCATCGGCTCTGTCCTTTATTTCTCAGGCCAATGATACAGTGGGTCATGCAGGAAAGGAGGCAGCTCCCCAAGGGGATGGGAAGCCCATTCACCTCAAGAGGTGTGTTTCCAGGCAGCCCTGGCCACAGGCCCCCAAAGAATCTCTGAGGGTGGCAAAGCTGGCTCTGCCTGGGCCCTGTCTGAAGGCCCCATTAGGACGCAGGATGCGGGCCACCAAATTTTTCCAATAAACAAAGTCCCCAGATATTGGTGTGGGTTAAAAATGCTAAGAAAACC